ATGCTTGCAGCACATTGTTTCAACTGATAAATTAGGAATGTATTCGTATAAAATTTACATCATAGACTACTAAAAATATGCTGTGAAGAATATTTCAAGATAATTGTCACGACTTACTTCAACATTGATATCAAATAGTAAAAATGAATCATGATCATATTGGTTGATTGACTGATATTATTTCGTAAATAATTCAACAAAATACTGTTTGATAATGAAATTTAATCTAATATGACTTAAACAAGAAGAAAAACATGGATAATACCATTGTTCATAGCATACTTGTTAATAATCAGTTCTGCTGATTATAGATGGATGGTAATCATTTTGTTTTAGTCTCGAACGCGATATAGAGAGAAACATTTTAGAATTTATTTGTATAATATTTAAAATAATTCTAAAAACTCATATTTTTTATTCAGTTATGTTATTTCGAATGATGGAAAAGTAAGAATCATAGATGATATCAACTAATTAAATCACTATTTGAAAGAAAAAGAAAATTTCCGAATCTTTTATATTCATTATAATTGAGTATCAGTAATAAACAAATATATTTCTCATTTATTTTAGAACACTTTGTGGTACTCCAAATTACAGTATGTTTCGATGAATCTTTTTTTTTTCGTATTAAAAATCATATTTTGTTTTTATTTTTATTATTTTATAGTTGCACCTGAAGTAATCAATAAAAAAGGTAAAAATATATAAATTTAAAATAATGATCAATATAAATATATATATATATACATATTTTTTTTTTCTCTCGTCTAGGTCATAGTTATGAAGTTGATGTATGGAGTTTAGGTTGTATTTTTTATACACTTTTACTTGGTAAACCACCATTTGAAACATCATCATTAAAAGATACATATTCAAAAATCCGTAAAAATGATTATTTAATACCAGAAAATCGTATAAGTCGTGAAGTTGTTCTTCTTATTCAACGTTGTTTAAGACATGAACCATATGATCGTCCAACAATGCAACAAATCTATATGGACACATTTTTTACTGGTTTTACACCGGCAACATTACCAACATCAGTTTGTACAGTTGCACCACGTTATTCCGTTATGGTACCATTAAATCAAGCACAACAACAAACAATAATTAATGCTGGTAAAACAGCAACACAATGTGTTATGACAGGTTCAATACAACAACAACAGCAACAACAACAACAACGTCGTCCATTTACTGAACAACAACAAAATGAACAAGCATTAATAGCATCACGTCATCAACAACTTGCAACATTACCAACACCAATATTAATGACTGAACGTCCAAATGATGTACATGGTGTTGGACGTCCAATATCAACAAATGGACCTAATCAAACAGATATTGTATTATCATCACAAATGGCACGACAATTAACTGGTCTTGATGGTGGTGGATTTATTCCAGCTGGTGCAACAAATGAAGAAATAAATGATGATTTACATTTAGCTATTGATCTTCAAAGACAATTAGAACATTTAATACAAATGAAACCAAATGAAAAAGTTGATAAACGTGAAGATGAAGCTGAAGATCCAGCATCAGCACCTATGTTATGGATATCAAAATGGGTTGATTATTCAGATAAATATGGTTTAGGTTATCAATTATGTGATGATTCAGTTGGAGTTTTATTTAATGATTCAACACGTTTAATAATGACAGCTGGTGGTGCTGAAAATCTTCAATATATTGATCGAGAAGGTTTTGAACATTTATGTACAATGAAAGATTATTCTGATCAATTAAAAAAGAAAGTTACTTTACTCAAAGTAAAAATTTATATTTAATGAAAAAAACAATCAAAATAAAGATGTTGTTTTTTTTTCCTATAGTATTTTACTTCATATATGGATGAACATTTACTTAAAGTAAGATTTATATATAAAATTCTACAAATCAAAAAAAAAACAAAAAACTTCAATTTAAAAATATTTTTAGGCCGGTGCTGCACATGCTCCAAGACCTGGAGATGAACTTTCACGACTTCCATTTGTTAAATCATGGTTTCGTACACGTAATGCTATTGTTTTCTATCTATCTAATGGAACATTACAGGTTTGAAATGAATCATAATAGTAAAATCAAATTTTTTTCTTTTATCTTTGTATCATTTAGATTAACTTCTTTCAAGATCATACTAAAGTTATATTATGTCCATTGATGAGTGCTGTTACATATATAAATGAACATCGTGAAATTCGTACATATCGTTTACCAGCTTTAGAACAATGTGGTTGTTCAAAACAATTGTTTACACGTATAAAATATGCTAAAAGTATGATTGATCGAATATTGGCTGCTAAAAGCAATCAAAATCGACTTCATTAAAATACAATAAATAGACACATAGTTGCTCTAATCTTCTCTCTCATCATAGTGCAAATTATTTTTTTTTTCTTTTTTCGTGGCTTGTACTTACGCGGTTTGTAATTTTTGTCTCTCTCTTTCTCTCGTCTTTTCTCTATAATTCAATTCAATCGAATGAATATGTTCATCTCTTGAGCTTATGTTTTTCTCTTTTTTTTTGTCTCATGTTGATTTCATTCTTTATTTCTTATTGTTATTATTACTAATTGTATGTGTGCGCGTTTGTACGAGTCAGATAAAAAAAAAACCTTAAAACATGAACGTAAAATTTTCGTTATTTGCAGCAGCGACAGCAGCGGCAGTAGTGTTCGTAATATGTATCAGAAAACTGTTGATTGTTGTTCTTCTGCCTTTATTTTTTTTTCTATTCTATACTATATGTTTAAAACAAAAAACAAAATTTTTTTTTCTTCTGCGTGTCATATAGCAGACAGACAGAGAAACTTTATTAACAAAAAAAAAATAAAATTCGAATAGCATAGGAAAATAAACTTGTAACAAGTTGTTACAATATCAAAAAAAAGTATTATGATATTGTTTTTCTTAAACGATGTGGGATTTAAAGTGTAGATATGATGATGAATATTTTTGCTCGATTGCAAAGAAAAACAGAATGAAGCATATTCTCAATTTTTTTTTCATTAAATTGATAAGTGTACTTAGTATAGTTTGCTAAGAGTTTTTATCAAGATGCACTTGATCTGATATGTATAAATATGAGTATTCTTTCTTTTATCACATATGTGTCTGTATATAACGGTTGTCTGAGCATACCGATGACTTATCGATTAATAACAGCGACAAAGTGCATTTTACTTTTTTTCTTGTATTTAATTGTATCAAAAGACAACAAGAAAAAAATAATGAATTATACACAATTAGAATTGAATGTGCTATAGATATGCATAATGATATTACTTCGGAATGTTTTTATACATTTTTTGTATAAAATGTTTTAATTACAGTTCAATATATACTAAAATAGAGTATAAATGATACTTCAATAAATTCTAATCATGTATTTTTAATGTATAGTTCGTTGTCTAGAGAAGCTTATTATTTTTGTTGAACTATTAGTTTACATCTTCAATAATATGAATAGAAACTGTCCCACTGTTACTATATAATTTATAAAACTAGATGACGTAATTCACATCATATTGACCGTGTCGAATATTGCTTTTTCTGAGATATATTCGACAGCTTCATGTTTACATAACGAAAACTATTAAACTGTCTCTCTTTTTTTTTCTCACTTTTTCTTTTTATTGATTGAAACCGACTACTATTCATCAACTGTCTCTCGCATAAAGATACTATTGATATGATCAAAGTTGACCGATCGAAAAGAAAATAGTTGGATCGTGATTATAAATTCAAACAAAATAACGAAATAAATGTTTTCACCTATCATTTAACGAAAATAAAAAAGAAAAGATAACTTAAAGCTTGAATATTTATTCTTAACAACAGAGTTTTTCATATCTATTAACAAAAACTACGTTCAGTCATTAATCATTTCTACGAGTTATTTTATTTTTAATTAAAAAACATCAATACCAAACTATGTCATCTACTATCAACAATAGCAGCTAGAACATATATAATGATGATATTTTTCTTCATCTCTCAGTTTTTACGGTAGTCAACTTATTCGAAATTTTACTTGTTAATCTATTTAAAAGTTTTAAAATGGAGAACAACTAAAAATAGGAGAAAGAGCATTTCATCAATATACATATGTAGAACATTTTTTTAGAATAATGTTCTCTTTAATGCATGTTGATAATCCTAGGCTTCGAAACCAAGTGAATTTCTTTGAAACCTACTGGAAAGTAATCATGTTCAGAAAGAAAAACACCAAACATCAATGAAAATTTTAGAAAATATTCTTGATTAGGACACCTTCAAAATTCATCCATTTCATGCCGAAAACAACAAGAAATAGGTTGATAGTCACCCGACAAAGAAAAAGTTCGAAGGCTATCCAGTCCGAAATATTTCCTTTAATGTACACATGAGATTTCAGTATTTTCTTGTTGCAATAGAATACACTTTTCTATGACAAGTTTTTATTTGTATCTTCATCTTATGCTTCTACTAAATATAGGAAACAAAAAATTTTAATTTAATGTATCTGCACGAATCTGTTTTTTTTTCGATAATTTTTTTCTCATCCAATGTTCATATATTTATTTTTATTATAAAACACAAAGGCGAAATAAAGAAATAACGCATAAGCATAAAACACTCACGATGTTACACTTTACAACAATAGTCTGAAACCAGACATAATTAAATGTTACACACACACATATGGACCAATGGAATGAATGAGAATGGCAAGCATGCATTAACGAACGATAAAACATATATATTTATATTCGAAAATTTTCTATGTTTTTCTCCCTCTTTAGTAGTATGATCCAAAAAGAAAAAAAAACAAATGCATCATAGAGGAAATGATATTTAAATCATACACATAAACGAGTGGTACAGTACATATATATACTTTGAAAAGGAAAAAAGATAAAGCAACTTAATGTTCATATCACATAGATTGTAATTTAAAGAACATGAAAAAAAAGAAAACAACCCATTGCAAACAAAACAGTACGAATGTTCTACTGTTTTTCTTGATTAACTGCTGTATTTTCATCTGTATTAGCCCATGTTAAACGATCTTCATAAAAACGAATGACATGTTGAGGACTTTTAACATTAGCTAAAAGAAAAAACTTATTAAGAATTCAATATTTTTAAATTAAAATTCATACCAATTCGAGCTGGTACTAATTCGGGTTTTTCGGTTGATTGCCATTTGATTCTAGTTTAAAAAAAAAGACAATATATATTTTTATATTACAAGAAAAATTTATTTAGTTTTTTTTTTTCATTCTTACAGAAACATTAATTCACCGTAGACATCAGTTGCTCCAAGAATTTTTTCAATTTCAAGTCCACGTCCATAGCCAAAATCATTCGCACGTTTAGTTTTTTTCGTTGTATCTAAAGATTCTTGTTGTTGTTGTTGATCAGTACTATCTTCCAATCTTCGTTTATTTGAAGTATTATTATTGTTATGATTATTATTATTATTTGTTGTTGTTGTTGTTGTATTATTTTCAATTATTGTTTCATTTGAAGATTTTTTAGTTTGAGTATTTGATCGTTTATGATAATCAGCAATTAATTCTGGACAATCAAGATTCATTTCGGGTTCCTGTATTAAATAAAAGAAAATGAAATAGAAATTTTATTTTTCTATTAGCAATATTTGCTTTGTTTCTTTTTTTTTTTCTTTTACCCATGTGTTTTCAGATTCATCGAAACCTTTCCACTTCAAAAAATAAAAAACTTCACCATTGACAACTTTTCGATCAAGAATTTTTTCGACAATAAATTCTGTTTCGTCTAATTCTTCTTCTTCCTCGTCGTCTTCAATTGAATGTTCAGGATGTTTTCCCATAATTACAATAAGAATAAAAAGAATCAAATAGATCTAAACAAAAAGAATATTATCATCGAAAATAAATGCTACATGCCGTGTTCACTGTTGCGTGAGAAGTATTTTACACACGCATATGTATAGGTTAAAATTTATTTTTCTCTTCTTCCTTCAACCTTTCTCACATGCATACACAAACTTGCTCTGATTGTAAAGATTGAGTCATTAAAAAATTAATTATCCGTTAATCATCAAAAATTTTCTACGAATTTTCTATTGAAAAATTAAGACAATTATTAATCATTATGAAGAAAATTTTCTGAACGATTGTACCGCTTGATAATGATTGGTTGAGAGGTATTCTATGGAAGTTTTGATATCCATTTATTTTAAAGTTTGTTTTATTCGAAATGTATTTGAATTAAATATGAAACATGTACATTAATATTCTTATCCGTCTTGAAATAATAGAATGGCATTTTGTTAACTCAGCTGATTGTTCGCATTAAACGGTACCGTTGGATAAGATCATAAAAATGTCGTTCTCTTAGGTTTTACTTTCAATAAGTTAGAATAATAAAACATGATATTTTACACATTCCTGTATATGTTTTTTTTTATTGAATGCAAAATCAACTTTCCGATGACTGAATAGTTTTAGTGGGACTATCACTTTTCGGTGTTTTGGATAATAACTATGCTAACCATAATTTTTTTCTTTTGTAACCTCGACGCCTTAATTTTTCGTGTAAAGCAAGGTCATTTTTCATGTTCTATGGGATGACATAATAATCATACTTATTCATTAGTTTATATATAATCAAACAGTACCTTAACGTACGTATGTGACTCGAGGTCTATTACTAATCGATAAACCATATTGTTATGTCATTATGTAGAACATGAAAAATGACCTCGATTTACAATATAATTTTTTGTATTAAGATTGGAAACGTAAAAATTATGGTTAACATAGTTATTGGCCACAAACTCCAAAAATGGGATGGAGGAGGGGGTCCCAAAGACTTTAATCCTCAAAAGCCTGTTTTTTTGCATTCGATAACAAAAATACACAGAAATGTAAAAAATGTCATCCTGCACCGTTCTAATCTATTGAAAGTGAAATCCAAAGGAGTGACAGATTTACAATCTTCTCGGGCGATACGATTCACACAGTCAAAACCATATCAGATATAAATAGTGTTTTTCCTATCAATCTGAAACAAAATGTCAATCCATAGTGTAACTCTATTTTGTTTACATTTTTTCTAGTGAAAAAAGTCTTTTTACGGAATTGTTAGTACTTCTTATTGATCTCTTGTAGTTTATAAAAATTTGTGTCTACAAAAGTTCACATATTTTGATTCTATTTGATCATTCTATCGTCTAATATATATAATAAGTTGCAGGTGTATAAAAGTCATGAAGAACCTTCTTTTATATTTATTGAGGATAGATATTATTATTCGATTTGTTCAGATAACCTTTCGAAATATTGTAATATGTCATATAATGAGCTTTTTACTAGTATGTTTTCATACTATTTTCATTAGTTTTCTTAATTTCTAATATGCATTCATCTATTATATGTATACTCATTAGTTATGGATATTTTTTCATGTCAAATATTTTACTATGCTTACCTATGATTACCATTATATACATACTCGTGTATTTGTTACGTAACAGTTTAGTTAGGTCGCACTGAATCCTTTGTATGCAGTTTATGTTATTATACAAGTCGGATACACATTGACATAATATTAATAATTTCCACTGATGTTTATTTAACTCTACTGCTGCGCTTTGACGTGTTAATCCTTCATTCAAGATTTAATAGCATTCGAATAGATAAGATACAGGTCCAATGTAAATTTTTTTTGTAGATTTGTAAAGTTTCAACTTGAAGTAATCAATATATGAGAAGAAAATAAAGTTGCAAGTGTAATTCACTAACTTCAAAGAACCAATTAATATAATAAACTAACGTTTTTATTTTTATTGAAAAATTTCCTTTTATTTTTCTTGAAACAGATTTATACTAAAATGATTTTATTCAAAAGTTCACTTTTAATCCAAAATGAACATTGACATTACTTTTTGAAAAGCAAAAACTTAATAAATGTTTTCACAAGTATTATACTGTTATTAAAATAAAATTTTCTAAAAATGTTCTATAATATTTGTAAAAGTTGTGTATGGATCACTGCACTTCATTAAAGAAATCTAATGCCATGTGAAATCATCCAAATATTCTAATTTTATTATATGATAAAGTTGATAGAAATATGAAAAAATCTTCTTCGTAATGTATACTTGAATATTATCGATTTAGGATTCGTTGATACGATTACGAACTAAGCACATTGAGATAAAAATTTTCAGCAAATCGAAAAGATATTAACTGAAATTATTCAACCAAAAAAAAAAATTCTCCTCAAGAGATGAATTTAATCCTAATGTGTAGAATCTATCAAGAAATTTATGAGATAATTATTCGAATACATGAATAATTTTAATGATAAAAGTTTTATAATTTTATTTCGAAGTACCGTCAACTATGAATCAAAACTACGATAATGTAGTATAAAAATACACCTATACTCAATATTAAATGGAAAAAAAATTATCTTGAATTTGGGTGAAAGTTTATTCATTTATATATAATATTTATAAGAATTACAGTTTACCGATCACAATACTTAGATTAAACAGTAACAGTCATAAACAATACATTCAATGGTTTATATGAATCAACATTACAATTGTATATTTCCATGCTGTACACCAAGAAATACATTCATTAGTGAAGATAAGATCACTCACTTATTATTTTCGTCACGCTTCATGCTTCTCCATATATGAACCTATTGTTTCACATACAATCAAGAAGATATATGACCATGATAGGAAATTAAATGCACCATTAAAATATGATTGTATACAATTCAGTATGCTTATTTATGAGTGTATACAGACACTATTCTATTCATCTTGAATATACGTCTAAATGATGAATTTGAAATGAAATAAAGAACAAATGACAATTATCCATTGTAAAAAATACATGCTCTTTCAAAAAGAGGAGAACAGTATCGCAAAATGGAGTAAACTGTTGAGTTTGGGAGTATTCAGTCGTGAAAAATTTTAGTATTGACACATGGCAGAATAAGAGGAATTAGTGTGACACAACATATTGTACATCTTTGATTGAAACGTTTATCGTAGTTATTTGAGAAAATAAAAATTAAGCAATTTTACCTTCTATTTCTCATCAATGAAGACATGATTTGAAATCGTTGCTAGTAATGAAAAGAAAGAAACAGTATTGAATTTTGTCTGCCGTTATATAAATTAACATAAAAACTCTAAAAAATCTTATCGAACAAAGTTTATGAGCCAAATCAACATCGAAACGTATAAGAACAATTCTGTTATTTGCCAACGATTAACAAAGACGTTCTCATTGTACTAGATCTTAAAAGCTAAAAACTAATACAATACAAAGAAACTTTACTGTTGAGATAATCAGTTCATGGGTAGAATTCTTACCAATGGAATTATATGTAAAAATTATGACACATTATTAACTTTCGTATAGATGGAGATTTTTAGCAATTCATTGAATTTATTTTTCTTGTCTTATTTATATATTGTGAGTTTCAATCAAAAGAAGGAAAAAAAGTGACTCCAATATTTCGAAGTACGATACTCAACGTGCTTTGCTCATAATTCGAAATACTGAAGTCACATCTTTTCTCTTGGTTTAGGTGCATTTCTTGTATCTTTCATATTTTAGACTTCAATAAAAACAGATCTTTTTTTTCAAGAATAAAACAATTTGTCTCGTACATACGAAACTACTTATATTAGAAACATGAAGTAGCTTTTCCATTTAGATTGAATGCCGAAAAAAATTGAATATTACCCTGAAGTTCATTATAATACATATCATTTCAAACGTGACCGAAAAGAAACAATGGTTATACTTTTCTTCGCCTAAAATTAAACATATTTGATTCAAGAACACATCTCAAAAACATTTCACATTATAGCATGAAATCGTTTTTCTCTTCCTTATGTTCTATGAAATCTAAATGTCTTTTAAGTGAACAAGGAAATATAAATATATGATGTTTTGAAAACTCTAGCTTCAATCAAGTCATATAAAATAAAATTAGATTCAAATGTTTTAAGAGCAGTGTAAAAGATTTTATATCAATCAATAATAAACAAGTACAAACATTTCATTGCGTGAGAAGAACCCAAATTATGTTTTTGTTCAACAAATATCATATTAATGTAAAGTAGTGATAAAAATTTTACAGCAACGTATTTTTAAGTTTTTTTTCCTATAAAGTTTTGGTAATTAACTCAAATCCAGACAGTTATTTTAACAGCTAATAGAGTCTTCTAACTAATGCATTCTATACTAAGATTTCATAAATGGAGGTTTTTGAGAAACTGAACACAATATTTTCCAGATTTCTGATAACTATGTTGGAGCTATTGTTTAAAAATGCCATTTTTAAAGAGAAGGTTATACAAAATGTGGTGATCTCTCGTGTTTTTCATAATTTTGTGATCTGAAAACTATCATATACACTTTTTTTAGAAATGTTTCCATCGTGAGCCATCTATGAAATCTCACTATAGAAAATTTCATTGCTTATTAAAATCACTATCTGAATCTGAGCTAATTGTCTAATATTATGAAAAAAAAATCCACAAATACATTATTGTTAAAGGTTTCCCCTTATCTTATACGGTTACTGTATTTTCGAGGAAATTCCAATTATACAAACAAATTTTAACCATCTTTTTTTCTATTATCGAATCGGATGTAAATATATTTCTTTTTTATTTGATTCTCAAATAAATATGAACAATAAAGTTTAATAACAAACTTTTGTCTGTTATTTACACAAATGTTTATGTATCCATGGTAGTCGTAGTATTCGATGCATGTTTAGATAAATATCGTTTAAATGATTTATCTTCACGTTCAAAATCATCTTGAT